GGGGATTCTTCTCTGCTCTGCTCTGGTGAGATCCCTCCTGCAGTCCTGCATCCAGCTCTGGGGCAACAACATAAGAAGGATGTAGAGATGTTGAGGCAATGCCAGAGGAGGCCACGAAGATGCTCCAAGGGTTGGAGCACCTCTGCTATGGAGACAGGCTGAGAGAGCTGGGCTTGTACAGCCTGGAGAATCGACCTTCATGTGCTTGTCCAGCCCACTCTGCTGGAGGGGCTGATCCTGCAAGAGTGTCTGTCTGGAGCAGAAAGGAGAAAGCTGTTGCTTTCCCTGGTCTTCCATTGGGTTGCTCCCAATGAAGCAGACCAAAGTTCAGCATTGCCAACCAGAGCTCTGTGGGGCTCAATGCACAAAGGTGCCAAAGAGCCTGATGCAGATGAAGTAGAGGCACACTTGGAGGAGGGGTGCACGGGCAGGGACACCTTCCACTAGACCAGGTTGCTCCAAGCCCCATCCAACCTGGCCTTGAACACTGCCAGGGATGGGGCAGCCACAGCTTCTCTGGGCAACCTGTGCCAGGGCCTCACCACCCTCAGTGTAAACAGTTCCTTCCTTACATCCAGACTGAGTGCAGACCACTGTATCGGATACAAATAGTGGGGGAGTTTCTCCTTGCTAGATTTAGTAATTCCAGCACCTCCAAAAGAGCCATTTCTGTACCATGGGTTCTGCTTTCTAACATCCTTGCCCTACCCTCTTTGTCCTACTCCAAACCCTGGCCTGACCATTCCAAAGTGGGAGAAGCTCCCAGGGAGCTCTGCAGGAGACAGCACAGAGCTCTCTACTCACTCCTGGCCTTTCTCCCAGTAGACCCTGTTGGACTTCCCTTTACTTTGCTGCAAGCTATAATCCCTCCTCTGATATTTCCATTGGATGCCAAGAAGGAAAGCTAATTTTCCTTACCACTGGAAGCTGTCAGAGAGCCAAATCTGCTTTATACATCCCTCTGGAGCAATCCAAGTAGGTAATTCACAGTTTTATTTTTCTCTCTAGAAACAAGCCTCAAACAAACACTTTGAGTTAGATTTGTATTATTTGAAAGATTCCCATTATTTCTATTCAATGCAGGTGGGGAAGATACCCAGGGCTAAAGGGCTCTTTTCTCAGGGAGCAATCACAGTGAGTTGCTGCAGGTGGGAACAACGATGGGATGCTCAGGTACCCTCAGCACCAAGATCACTCCATCAGGATCTGGGTATAGGATTCTCCATAGAAATGGCCATGGCTGCATGCTGCAGTAGCCTTCTTACCTCTCTTCCCTCTGCTACAGGCAGGGTTGTGATCCCTATCCAAATCTTGTCATGTTTTAGTCATCCTACTGGTCTGCCCTGGTGCTTACCTGCACTCAAGGCTTCTTTTATGCACAGTTGTTAAAGCCTCTTGTTCCAGCTCAGTATTTTCAGTCGCTTTTGGTGCATTTCAGCTGTATTTTCACCTTCTGCACTTTTTCACCATGAAAAGACATGCTCATTATCACAGCCTCACCAGGTGTGAATAGGGTGACAAAGCCTCATAGTAAATAACCTAAACTCTCATCACTGATGTTGGGGGAAATCGATCTCCAAAGCCTGAATTAAATGTGTACAGGGATGAAAGTCAAATCACCCAGGTTTGGACATCCGAGCTCATGACCTTCATGTTTCCTGGAGGTAGATGCCTTCTTCAGGGCAGGCAGTTGCCTGAACTGCTGCCCATTCTCACTGGAGCTTCAAGGGGCATCCCAGGAGCTGGGGGTGGCCAGCACAGCTCTTCACACCCAAAATGCATGGGTGTCAAACCCCTCCACTTTGAAAGTCTTTTCCTAGCCAGCTTTGTCTAATCAGACCTAGCTTCAGATGCCCAAAATCCCTGAGGGCAGCCTTTGCCCAAGGGGAGAAAGCTATAGCAAACCTTGTATCAGCCCCAAAGCCCTCTTAGCCAGGCAAATTCCTCCATGGTGTGTTTTTTGTTGGACATTTAAGGGAAGAGCAGAGCAGGGCTGGCATGGTGGACATGCTACCCCAAGGGCAACTCCCTAAAATCAGTGGCATATTCGGGTGAATAAACCTCCATGTGGGCATCCTATCCTCACTCTTTTTGTGGTGATCGCATGTTTTGTCTGCAGGCAAAATGGAGAAACTCTAAAAAGCCAATTCCTCTGTTAGGAAATGCAGTTTAAAGATGCTATGACTTCCCAGGTCCTGGCATATAGCTACAACTGGAAAACTTTATCCTCCAAAAGTGAGTGAAAGCAGAATAACTTGGCATTAGCTGGTGAGGAGGACAGGGAGGAGGGCAACAGAAGCCTGGGGAAGGTCCCCTCCCATGCTTGCAGAAGCAAAGTTTGTGATGACCTCTCACCTTGAGTCTCTGCAGTTTCAATCCCCCTGTCCCAAAGTCCTCATCAGCCCCAGGTTGCCCCTGGTTTTCCGCAACCAGGCTGTGCTCAGAGGAGCTGTGATGAGATCTCAAAGACTCTCTCATTTCAAGAACTGATTGAGGGGGGAAAGAAGATAATTAAGGCGTTTTCCCACTGATGTCACTTGTGTAATCACTCAGACACTGGATTAACTTGCTCACTGCTCACCCCTTCAGTGGCTGGTCCTCGCATGGGGCAGCTTCATTAACTGAGAAAACCTCCAGTGCAGCTGCCCCAGGGTGCTGGGTCATGATTCATACCCTATAATAACACATGCCCGAGGGCCAGGGACATGATTTATATCCTATGAAAGTCTAGGGAATGATAAATATATGCAAGATTTGGGGATGAAAAGCCAGTAGAAGGCTTGCTCCTTGATGTGAACCAACCAGGAGATGGTCCATCCCCATATCCATGCCTCTCCGGTTTAGAGACAAGGATGTCAAATACTTTGCACAAGTCCAGGTAGATGATCGCAGTCTCTCTTCCCTTACCCACCGCTGCTGTCACTCCGTCATAGAAGGCCACACAATCTATCAGGCACGATTTGTCCTTAGTGATGCCATGTTGGCTATCACCAATCATCCCGTTATTTTCCATGTGCCTTAGCATAGTTTCCAGAAGGATTTGCTCCATGCTCTTGCCAGGCACCAAGGTGAGACTGACTCGCCTGTAATTCCCCAGGTCTTCTCTTTTGCCCCATTCAAAAAACAGGGGCTACATTTCCCCTTTTCCAGTCAGTGGGAACTTCACTGGGCTGCTATGACTTCTCCAATATGATGGATCATGGCTTTGCAACTTCATTTGCACAGGTCTCTTACTTATGCAGTATCATAAAATGCATACAAAATACCTCAGAAATGCTTTTATAGGGAGAGAAAAATCACCAGAGGTGATTGCCTATGAACCCACAGAGTAAAGAGAGCAATCCATGAACATGAATAATAAACCTGAATCATCTGAGACCGTCCCTGCAGCATTCCAAGCATTTTTATATGATGAAGTTGCTCTCAGTGTACGCGAGAGCCTCCTGATGCCAACGTCTTGCAAGGAGATGCCTCCATGTTACTACACGTTACTACACCACATACAGTTTTTGGGATGTTGTTGTCTATCCCTAAACACTGCCTGTGGGTGTAGAGAGGTCCCAAGGAATGGGAACTTAACCTGTAGGTCCTGCAAGTGCCTTCTCATGCTTTCCTGAGCTTTTTCAGACATTCCCATCTCCAACTCTTTATTTATAGCCTTGCTAAGGGAGGTTTGAGTCCTCTTGTAGGCTTCTACTCCACCTTGTCTGGCAGCATCTGTTGGTAAAGTGGCAACTGTCACAGTGAGCTCCAGACCCAAGATGCCCATGGGGAGGATGGCCAGTGGGTGGTCTGGGAAGGGAAATGAAGTGCTTTGCAGTGCTGCGTTGGAGGTGACCCATCTCCAGGACTCTCTGTTGCTTAGGCTTGCCTAACCGGCCCAGCAGCCCGTGTTCAGAATTAACTAATCAAGTCATGAAGGGGCCTTCCTAAAGCAAACACGAGCAGCTTCTGCATTCCAGGTTTTTAACTTTTTCATTTTCCGAGTATGCCACCTACTGATGGGAAAAGAAAGCAGTAATGAATTCATGGGCTTATTACTTAGGATGCGTGAGGAGACAGGCAGTTTTGCACATCCTTGCTCTACCAAAGAGATGTGGACGGGCTGGAGAGGGTCCAGGAAAGGACCACAAAGGTGATCCAAACACTGGGCTGCCATGTGAGCAGAGGCTGAGAAAAGAAGGCTCAAGGAGAGCTTATCCCCATGTTCCAGTATTTAAAGGGTGACTACAAAGAAGATGGAAACTCCCTTTTTACAAGAAGTCACATGGAAAAGACATGGAAAAGGGGTGATGGGCACAAGTTACTGCTGGGGAGATTCTGACTGGACACAAGAGGACAGCTTTTCACAATGAGAACAACCAGCCACTGGAATAATCTACTGAGGGAAGTGATGAGTCCCCAACACTGGACACTGTTAAGGTTCAGCTGCACAGGGTGCTGGGCCATCGACTCTAAGTCATGCTTTGCCTGAAAAAGTTGGACCAGATGATCATTGAGATCCCTTCCAGCATGGGATTCTAGGATTCTGTGAATCCTGCCCCACTCTTGAGAAACTCATGTCCCCTTCCCCATCCCTTGGTGATGCAAGCGAGGCATTGGATCAGTCTAGCAGGGACATTTGTTAGGAGACGAAGGACAGGAGCATCGCCTTCAGGTTTTGGCAGTGTGGTACAGCTGCAGCCCCACCTGGGAGAGGACGCAACCCATTGTCCATGCGTGGCTTCTCGTACACCAACACCAGACAGGCTAGGGTGGGCCTGTCAGGCTGCCTCTTCCTCCCAAAACCTGCCTATGTGCCTTTGTGAGGGGAGATGGCCTGAGCTCAAGGACATGGATGGCTCCAGCCCCAGGCTCTGCAATGGCCTCTGGTCTCTATGTCCAGATCTGACCCCTGTGGTGGGGCTGCACAGGGACACCAAATCCCATCCCCTGTCCCAAGAGCTGTGCACCTCCATAGAACACATGCCCAGGCTGGAAGCACAGGCTCAGACAAGATCTGCTCAAAGGAAGGCCTTTATTGAGATGTTGTCTTGGACAGGAGGCACTTGGGCTGTGCAGGTCTTGCGGGACAGGGACATGGTCCCCCCCAAACTGCTGGTTTCCAGAAGACTTCCAGGCACCTCAGAGCCATGTCAGCATCACGATCAGAGCACACCCCTGCCCATGGGGCCAGCCCTTGCTGCCTGCTGTCGTGCAGATAAGGGCAGAGACAGAGACTTGGGACCATGGAGGACCATGAGCTATGGCGTGTCCCAGGAACTGGGGGTGATGGCTGGCTTTTCCTCCATCCCCCTCGTTGCCCCTATCAGTAGAACACCTTTTCCAGGTAGGCATTGAGGAAGATCCCCGTGGGATCCAGCTTCTCCCGGACGGAGCAGAATTTGGAGAAGGCTGGGTACATCTTCTCAAAGTCCTTCCGGGTGCAGCTGTGGGCCTGCAGGAGGGACAGTGTCTGGGAGAGCTGCCCATCACTGGTTTTGGACCACCCCACCACACGCTGTGAGAAGCCCCTGCAGAAGTGGTGAGACCTCTATCCCCTTATCCACATGCCCAGGGTGGGCAGCATCATCAGGAATGCCATCTCCTAGAGGCATCCACCTCCCCTTGAGACCAGTCTGATGCTGGGGACCTTCTCTGACTTCTCAGTTAATTGCAAAACCCCTCCTCCATGAGGAGCCATGATGGAAAAGGGGTAGGGATCCCCCTCTGCATCCCCTGCCCTCCCAGAAAAGCATGGCCATTGGTACCTTTGCCCAGTGTGGTCTCCCACCATACTTCTTCATGATGCCCTCATAGGTCAGCCAGTAGTTGAGGCGGGGGACATTCTTCCCATAGGGCCTGGAGCAGGATCAGGTAGGGAAGGCATTAGCAGGGCTGCAGGGGGATTTGCACAGCCCCAGGGGAGAAGGACAAACCCAGGGACCCACCATGGGCTCTTTGACCAGCACTGGGTGATAAAAAACCTCTGGGAAGCGGCATGACACCAGCATTTGGCCAGTGGACCCTCACCTAGGACAAGATACTCAAGAAACAGGGGTGGGTGGATCTAAGGTTCTCCAGGGCCACACCATCCCCTGTGGTTTGGTACCTGCAAATTGAGTGGGGTGAGTGGGCAAAAGTGCACCAGCTCATTCAATCCAGCTCTCCAGTGCCAGCCAAGAGCTGGCGTCAGTGTGTCTGAGCTGTGAATGTGCTGCTGCTGGGACTCCAGGCACGGTGACCGCTGTACCAGCACACTGACCCAGGGAGGAAGAGGAAGGTGAAGGGATGGAATGGGGATGTGGCTCACCTGTACATGATGATGTTCATGTAGCAGCTGTCTCTCTGGAAGCAGGGACTCAGCCAGATGTCGTCCCCCCGGACAAAGCGTACCTCCACTGGGTAGTGAGCCACCATCTTGGGGTTGTTCTCCAAGGCAGCCTTCAGCTCCAGCAGAGCCTCCTTTGTCTTCTCACTGCCCAGGAGAAGATCCCAGCCCCAGTTAATGGCACCATGGGCACAGCAAGCTCCCTTTAGGTTTGAACCCCCGACTCCACAGCTCCATCCCTGGCCCCATGCTAAGTCAGGGAACGTAGAGATGCATAGAACAGATGTGGATGAGGCCAGCCCTGGACAAACCATGGCATGTCCCAGCACATCCCTCCCTCGCTTTGGGCTCAAAGCCCCCAGACATGGTGTGGCATGGATTTGGTAGCCCAGGGTAGGGATGCAGAAGGGTCCCCATGCTAAGCATGCAGGTAGGAATGGTGTCTCCTAGCCAGGCCCCTTTCTCCATGGCTTTGTTCCTGCTCCAGGCAGCCTGAGCTGGGGCAGAGCACAGGCAGGGAATGGAATGTGGTTCAGCTACTGAATCTGGCTGGGGATGGACAGGAAGGGTTTTCAGAGCCATTTACATGGGGATGGCCCAGTCTTGAACGTGCTGCTTGAAGCGACACTCGTAGTTGAAGATCTTATAGCTGATGGCAATGTTCTCCACCCGGGAACTGAAGAGGAGCCAGAAGAAGAAGCGGTTGATCCAGCACACCAAGCTGGGCACAAAGGTGCTGCAAGGGAGAGAGACGGAGGTGAGATCTGAGCCCAGAGATGACTCACAGATTGTTGGGGCTGGAAGGGACCTCTGGAGATCACCTTCTCCAACCCCTCTGCCAAGGCAGGGCCACTTAAAGCAGGTTCATTCCAGACAGGAAGCCTCCACACCCCCCCCCCCCCCGGGCCGCCTGTTCAGTGCTCTGGATCCTCAATGTGAAGAAGTTCTTCCTCATGTTGAGGTGAAACTGCCTGGGGTTTAGTTTACGGCCAGTGCTCCTCGTCCTGTCACTGGGTACCACTGAAAAAAGCCTGGCGCCATCAGTGCTGCGTGCTCTGTCTCCGCGCACACGAGAGGGCAGTGCAGCCCCAAACGTTAATCCCAGCCCGACCCCGCTCCTCCGGCACGGGAGCTCGCTGGAGGAGAGTAAGCATCTCCTCCTTCCCCAGGGGTGGAGCGCTGTGGGTCACAGTTCTCCCTTGCCATCTTCCCTGGGACTCCCAGCAAAGCAGCACAGGTTTCAATGCACAGATGCAGAGGAGAGATGTGGATGAGGCCAGCCCTGGACAGCCGCTGCCCAGAGCATGCTCTTACCTGATCCAGAGCAAGAACTCCAGCAGATAATAACCAACAGCATAATCCCACAGCCAGCTGGCGGAGGACAAGGGGGGCTGCAAAACCAAGCAGAAGAAGATGGCTGTTAGGGAGCAGCAGGGTTTGCAGCTTTCTTGCCAACAGGCATGATGGTGGAAGCACACGTCTGCATCAGGATCAAGCTGGGAGTGGGGGTTTGGAGAAGGACTGCCCGGATCTCCTGTGATGAATCAGGGACACATCCAGCCTCAGAAGCAGACCGGGCTTTGTCATGAGGATGCTAAGAGCTTGGATAGCCCCAGCTGCCTCTGTGTCCTGGGACCCTCCTTACCGTGGAGCACAGGCAGAATCCATCCAGGACCCAAATTACTGTTTCTCTGACCAGCCACCCCAGCAAGCCCGTCCCAGCGTTGTGCATGGGCCCTTGTCCCTTCATGCATGGAGCCCAGAGGGACCTGCCTTGTTGGTGGGGTCCTGGTAGATGACACTGACGTTCTCACTGTGAGGGAACCACAGGAATCGGAAATATTGGGATCTCTTCAGGTGGTCCCCAAGGTGATCAAGGACCTGCAATAACCAGAGAAATGGGGCTGGTTGGTGACTGTCCTGCCCCCAGGAGCAGGAATCCCAGCATGGGGGCACCTCAGAGGACTGTCAGGGATGCCAGGGCAGGTCTGAGATGTCTGTCTGCAGAGTCTCTCTGAGTTGCAGGGGAGTCAGTAGAGTCCTGCCATGCACTAAGGGGCTAACAGAGACCATGGACCCAGCATATGGGGAAGGGAAAAGGACATGTTCGTTGTCTCCTCTATCTCAGGTGTAACAGAGCTCCCTGTCCTGAAGATGCTGCTGGTGCTGCATCTGAGATCACACCCTGCATCCTCCTGTAATCACACATCTGCTGCTCTCAAACTGCTCCTTGAGGCATTCCCAGACCTGAAGCAGCACAGATCAGCCATGGAACAGCTGGCTCTATGGTGGGGCCACCAAAATCACCTCTTGCTCAAGTGTCAGGGATGCCCTCCCCAGTAATCACAGTCTGGCAGCACAGCCCTCTGCAGCACTGGAGCCCATAGGTGACAGGAAATGGAGCCAGGATGCACAGAGGATGGAGCTGGGATGCAGTGGGGGCTGGATCAGGGATGTGTTACATGACCCTGTCCCAGAGAGGCCTTCAAATGTCAAATTGACAAATTATTCATAAAGACACAAAAATGAGTCTTAGGAAGGTCACAGAAATTAGAAGATCCTTCTGCCCTAACCCTTTTCCCCTGCCTGTGTGTGTGGAAACAGAGGGACCTTGTGCTCACTCACTGCACAGTGCTATTTCAGCCAGGCCAGCACCAATCCCTCTTGCAAACAGCCTCATCAACCACACCCTGCTCCTCCTGCAGAGGTCTCCCACAGCTTTGCAGAAAGGCTTAAAACCCCAGCATCTTTGCTTCAAGGGGTTTGTTTGGCACAGGAGAAGGTGCAATGACCCATGGACATAACCCCAGGAAGGTCATAGCAATCTTAGCTGTGAAGCTGCTCTTTTCTAGCTGGGTTGTTTGAGTTATTTGTCTTAATGATGTATTAATCACCAGGAGGGGCTGCTTTAGCACTGAGCATCTTGCTATGACCCTGCCATAAGGTGAGTGTCTTCATGGAGTTGCACTGCTGTAATGCCATGGTACTGTTAAAGCAGGGAAGATGGGAAGATGAATAACATATCCATGTAATTGGTGAGCATTAATGCTAATGCTGTTGTCTTCATCTTCACATTTGCAGCTCACAAAGAGACACAAAATCTCTCTAAGATGTTCCCAAAACAGCCTATTTTCATAGAATCATAGAATCACAGAATGGTTTGGGTTGGATGGAAGGGACCTTAAAGCTCAACCAGTTCCAACCCCTGCCTCAGGCAGGGATACCTTCCACTAGACCAGGGTGCTCCAAGCCCCATCCAACACTGCCAGGGATGGGGCAGCCACAGCTTCTCTGGGCAACCTGTGCCAGGGCCTCACCAATCTCACAGGGAAGAACTTCTGCCTAAGATCTCATCTCAATTTTGTGTCCAGAGTAGTCCTTTTGTTGGAAACGGTGAACAGCTGCACAAGTAGAAGCAGGGCAAAAGCTACACCTGCAAGTTTTTGTTGGTTTGGTTTAGGAACAAATGCATCAAGTAGTAAAACAAGTGGGGAAAAGAAGGCTACAGCTTTCCCAAGTGATCCTGCCAATGCCTGTTTGCCTTCCAGCAACGACAACAGAGCAGAGAAGCAAACTGCTCACGGGGGTGACTTTTCCAGTGTGCGCTTTTGATTCTTGTGGTATTGGTCTGAAGGAAATAAGCCCATGACTTTGTAGGATAATTACAGTGCAGGGGGCACGCCGGCTTCAGGAGTCCTTGGGGAGGCTGTCTGCTGGCTGAGCACTGGGGCTGGAGGCAAGGGTCGGGCTGTGGGAATTGCTGCAATGTGGCCCGTGCTTAAAATGGAGATGACCCTGGGGCATGCAGAGACCCAGGGGATTTTGCTCATCTTCATTTCCCTCTGAGAAGCTCAAAACAAATCCCTTTGCTTCACAAAGGCCATGCCAAAAAAGCCGCTTGCTTGCAAACACACTTGAGAGCGCACTGAGCCGAGGGTCAGGCACTGCGCCTGCTGCAATGCAGGTCTGAGGGTCCTCAGGGAAAGGACAGGGATGGCACAAGGGGCAGATGCAGCCAAGATGCTAGGGAGGATGAAGCACAATCAGTCACTAGCACATGTGCTGTGGGTCAGTTGGAGCAGTGAAGGGGAGCAAGGGAACATGTGGAGTCACTTTCTGGGAGAGGAGCTGGATGCTCAGCTCCCCCCCACTTTGCCTGTGTGCTGCCTGTGCCTGGCAGGGTTCTAGTGTGTCAGGGTACAGTGTCTGAGCCTCGGCTGGAAGAGTCTTTTCCATGCCCTGATGCCAAAAACAATGATTCTAGGGAAGAGGGATGAGGTCAGGCCCAATGGTGGAGAGGGGGTTTAGGCACTGAGTGGTCTTGGGGAACTTGGGCTTGAGGGATCCATCCAGGTGCCTGGGACACCCACAAGGGGTTAGGGTTAGGAAGTAGGCTCAGATCAAAAGCAGCATCTCTTAAGCCACCAGGTCATTAAGCTGTGCACATCTGTGGGTGGTTAAATTTGTGCACAGGTTCAAAGGCAGATCACAGACTTCCCTGGAATTGAAACTCATTGCCTTATCACATATAATACAAACCACCTCCAGCTCAGGAAGCCCCAGAGCTGCAAAGATCAGGGGGACAAGTATCATATCTGAGCCTGACCCATCCTCTTCAGCCTCCCAGCAGATGTGGGGCAAGGGGAGTCAGACTCCATCCCTGCCACCACCTAGGGATGCTCTGCAGGTCTCTCTGGTGACCTCAGTTGTGCAATGAACCCTGTCGGTCCTGTGCCTTGTTCCCGGTCATTGTCAGCAACTATAGCAGCTGAGTTCATCCCAGTTATAAAGATAATCACGAGGCCAGAAAAGAAAGCATGCAGATCTTACATAACCACAAATCCGAGCCTGGCTCCTCTGACACATATATTATTTGCAATGTCTTAGATAACTCAAGCTTAAATATTTCAAACAACCTGCTCCCTTGCCATTATTCCCTTCCGCCTTGATGGGCTGCTCAACATGAAAGCTGGAGATCTGGAAGCAGGCGAGGAGCAGGGATGACCGAGAATTGATAATGGCATTAATATTTATAGAGTGCATTCTTGTTTCACCCTCCTAACAGCCCTGAGGGACAGGGAGAGATATGTAGGGGGCATAGCCCGGGCAGATGATGCTGAGTAAGGTAAAGCTCAGTTTGGGCTACCTGCCCTGCTCAGGGAAGTGGAGTTATCCTGCATGTGAGATAAAGGTCCTAGCTAAAAGGCAGATTAGGAGGTGTTAAACAGCCTTTACTACAGCCGTCTGGCTCAGGAAAGGTGCTGGAGGGTGCAGTGAAGGTCTGAGCAGTCTGTCAGGTTGGGTGAAGAGCTCATAAGGAACCAGCAGATTCCCACCATGTTTAAACACGTTTAAATCCAGTTAAAGCAGGGAACTCTGCTGCAGCACACCAGGGAAGCTGCAGCTCAGGAAGCAAACAGGCGATTCACAGGCAAAAAATACCCCTGAGCCCATTAACCATGAACTCATCACTTCTGCAACTGGGAACACTGGTAATGAACTCACTGCAGGCTGGGAGGGAGAAATATCTTGGTGTGTTTCCCTTTATTCCTGTCTTCCCTTCCCACCCCCAGGTAAAATAAGCCCCTGAAGTGCTCTGGTGCAGCTGCTCCTGGAGGGGTGACAGCAAGCAGGCAGACATGCTAATGGCTTTGAGTAACACACATGGACCTCTCTGTCCCACGGCACAGCACAGGGATCACTGGGTTGATTTGGATCAGGGTTTACAGAAAAGATACTCCACAAGTGCATTAGATCCACATTCCTGGCCGTGTTAAAGCCACCTCGATGGGGCACTGAATAATTCAGTCCTTAAAAAATTAAGGACAGCGTTTCTCAGAGCTTTACTGGTGCTGCAGCCCTGATCAATCCTGCCACAAATTTTGCTGCTTTTGTCCAAGGACTATATATTTTTCATGAGCCCAACTTTACAAAGGCTTTTGCTGTTGTTAACCAGGGCTGGAACTGGACCTGTGAGACCCAAATGGGACAACAGATGAGGATGCTGCTGAGGATGCATCAGCGGGGACGTCAGACCTCACAGGAGGACAAAGGCAATCAGTGACTGAAGCAGATTCAAGCTCCTGGAGAGGTTCCTTTCCACCACCACTATTTTCCTCCTCCTGGAGGGCTTCACGCCTCAGTTTCCCTATTCAGAAATCTAACTCCTTCCAGTGAATACAGTTGAGCCCACACTACATTTCAAGCCTACCAGGTCTTTCAGCTTGTGGGTGGCACCTTCTCTGTAGCCTTTACCCTGTGCAACGCTGCAGCCTCTGGTGATACCTAGTGCCAGAGACAGGGGACAAGGTGGATAGTCGCTCAGCTCAAGGCAGTAGGTCCCATCCTCTCCCAGCTCGCTCCATCTGACTTCCCAGCACCATCAGAGTGGGAGGGCTCCAAGGAAATGAATCCAGCAGTTAAAAGGAGTTTTTATAATGGCAGAGACAGGGAAAGTGGGTTTTGATGTGCACCCAGGAGAAAGAACTCCTTCCAACTGCTCTGTAGAAATGCCCAGTGGGCCTTCAAAAGGCTTGCTGAGGGAATCAGATCACACCCACCACTGGCCACAGTGCCATGTGGAGACCCAAGCTCATAAAGCCCAGGAGGCCCACTGCCACAGAAAGGGGCATTTCGTGCCTCCTTTGAGGAAAATCAGCCTCTCTCAGAGGGGTTCTTTTGGGGATGGAAAGCTCAGCTGGAAAACCACTCTCCAGCACTGAGCATCTCTGCACCAGCATCCCAGGACACTGTCCCCAGTGCCTCAGCCACAGGCTGAACAAGGACCTGCACTTCTCATGCTTTCCATAGTCAATTAAGTGACTTTTCATAGACTTCATGGAAGACATTGTCTTCAGGAGAGACATGGCCATGAAGAGGGGACAACAAGAAGAGGATGGATGGTGGGACAGCAGAGCTTGCCAAGGAGGAGACAACATGTGAAACCTTCAGAGCCATGCAAGATCATGATCTATGAGTGAGCAGGTCAGAACCCTCCTCAGAAAGCCACCTCTGGGGATGTCCCAGATTCATTACAATTACTAGCGCTATACACCTTATTCTGGGCGACCTGAACCTCTGGTAAGACAGAGATGGGCAAATCCAGCAGCAAAATGACAATTGCTTTAGAAGGATTTTTCCATCACGTGATTGAAACGCAGCTCCGGGGTTGGATCCTGATGGATTTGTTCAGTTTGGCCCTTGAAACATGTCCTCCATCACACTTTTCGTCCCCAGCACGGTTTGTCCCAAGTTCAACTCAAAACCAAAGAATGAAACCAAACTCCACACTGGGAGATGGAAAGCTCTATCCTGAAAAATACCCAGACCTGACACACAAGAAAGGACCAAGTTATTATCAAGAGCACAAGATCGTAGAATCATAAAATGGTTTGGGCTGGAAGAGACCTTAAAACACATTTAGTTCCAACAACTGACTTCTTCCTCAGATCTCATCTCAGTCTCCCCTCTGTCAGGTTAAAGCCATTCCCCCTTGTCCTGTCCCTACAGGCCCTTGTCAAAAGCCCCTCTCCAGCTTTCTTGTCAGCCCCTTTAGGCACTGGAAGCTGCTCTGAGGTCTCCATGGATCCTTCTCTTCTCCCAGCTGAACAAGCCCAGCTCTCTCAGCCTGTCTCCACAGCAGAGGTGCTCCAGCCCTCAGAGCATCTTCAGGGATCCACGGATGCTCATGAACTATTTTAAGTGGCCCATCTGTTGCTCTGAAAAGCAAGGCTGTCCCTTAGCCGAGCAGCAGGGGATGGTGAGATGGGAGACGGCACTTCCTTGGAGAGCACATGGCCTGTGGGAGCATCCATGCCCTGCGGGATGCTGCTCCTCTCCTCCAGGTCCCTGCCTGTCGACAGGGGTGCTGGCTCAGCACAGGCACAGCTTTCTCCCTGTTTGTGCTCAGTCCAGGCAGCACATCAGCTCCTCAGACCAGAATTTCCAGCAAGGGTAATTTTCTCCAGCTGGAGCACTAAATCTGCATTAGGCTTACTCATGCGTGCCTGGAGTCACCAGATCTCCACTGACCTGCCAGCGCCTGCCAACACCGGGTTAAACAGAGCTGAGGCATTGGCTGATTCATCTCGTGGTGATGTTCTCCATGGGCAGAAGAGAGTGCTGAGGGCCGGCAGCGCTGACGCCTGCAGGCTCCTTCAGCATCTCTAACTTGATTGTGCTGGAGCCTCTGTGCTCAGCCCTGCCACTGCTTGGAGGCAGCCCAGGGAAGATGAAGCTGATGGCAAACCTCCATCACTGCTCCGGTGGGAATGCTGGCATTGCTCAGATGCCAGGGATGGGGCAGCCACAGCTTCTTGGGCAACCTGTGCCAGTGCCTCACCACCCTCACAGGGAAGAACTTCTGCCTAAGAGCTCATCCAAATCTCCCCTCTATCAGGTTAAAGCCATTGTCTTGTCACTACACACACCAGGGGTGCAACCTACACATACACGTGGTATTCTGTATCAGAGCAGTCTTCCCCCAATCATGTCACATCCCCAAGAGCTTTGCTTATCCCCAAGGAGGCTTTAAAAGCCTCACCCGCATCATACCTCGGTGAGGGTGGAGGGGAAGGTCACCTCGTGCAGGTGGAACTGGGGCACGCACTGGAAGGTGACCGTGAGCACGACGCCCAGGCAGCCGAGGTGCAGGCGGGCAGCCTGGAAGATGTCCGCATTGATGGACTCTGAACACTCCATGATCTCCCCTGAGGCCGTCAGCAGGGTGAGAGCTACGACCTGCCAAGAGGAGAGTGAAGATTCAGCGAGGGCTCAATGTGCCCTATCTCCATGCCGAGACCCTGCCTCCACCCCAAAGCTTAGGGCTGGGGGCCAAGCAAGAAGACACCCATATCATGACTGTCATCACAAGGTGTTTTCTGCTGAGCTTGGCTCCCCCAGCCTTTGATGTAGGGACATTAAAGGACCCTTCTCTCTCTGGGGTACACTGGAGAAGCTATCAAATACAGAAGTGGAACTCCCCTCAATTACTTCACTTCTCCATAACCAGCAATGGAATTACCCTATGCGAGCTATGACTGGAGGATTTTTATACGTGTGTAGTAGAAAACAGACCTGGGCCCTGCAGGGATTTGGTTTTGGGAGGCTCCAATACAAGAACTGCTTTCCCTTTGGTACAGAGCTTATTCATCAGAAGACCATAAAGCACAAGTATACAGGAGTTTTGAGCTGGATTATGTTTTGGCTGACAGATAAGGAAGTCCCACTGTTCATGGGGGACTTCGGGTTCCCCGTAACAGCTCCATCCCATGGGGGACAGGACCCCCCCAGACCCAGACCTTGTGATGGGATGCTGATGTCAACACGCTCCCGACTCGTGTCTCACCTGTGTGGGGAGGATGCCATGCTTGATCCCAGTGTTGTGTGTCCCTGTCCCAATGACACCAGCTGCTGCCACCTCTGAAACGGCTCCTAAGCTGGAAGCAGACGAAGGGGCTGGGTGAGGACCTCAGTGCATGGGACACAGTGTGGCGCACAGCACACCATGGCAGGCATTACACTATGTGCAGACCCCGTCCAACAAGCAGGGTCTTCCACCCTTCAGGGTAACCCACAGCAATGGGTGGGTTTGTTGGCCATGTGTGCACGTCTCCATAGGACATATCTATCAGGGTGCTGCTGTAGTCCATGGGGAGGAAAAGGCAAGTCACCAAGGTCAACTCAGCTGGGTCCATCTCACAAGTCCCCATCTCTCCCCATCAGCATGGAGTGACTCACTGGGGGTGGAGACATCCCTCCCATATGCATTCAGAGGCTGCAGGGAGGAACCTGGGTTTACCCCCGAAACATCATTGTGGAGCAGGGCTGGTGGCAGTATCCAGAGGCTAATTCTGCACACCAAGATCTGTTCCTCCAAACATGGCCATGTGGGCACATGGGGATGGTAGAAGGATAAAAGATCACTTCCACCTCCTCTTCTGGGGACACCAGACATCCCAAAGCAATGCAGAGCAAAAAATCTCCCACGCCTCCCAATAATATATTCCAGTGCCTAGTTGCCCTTTGCCATCAAAAACTCATTTCTAGCCTAGTTTTGCCTGCCATCAGCCTCCTCTGCCCAGAGCTGCCTACTCAGGCTCTGCCCCATGTAAGCCATACCTAAGAAGGCTGCTCTCATCTTTAAGGGACAGTGCACAGTTTTCCTTCTCAACACCCTCATAGGGAAGAACTTCTTCCTAAGATCTCATTTCAGTCTTCCCTCTGTCAGGTTAAAGCCATTCCCCTTTGTCCTGTCCCTACAGGCCCTTGTCAAAAGCCCCTCTCCAGCTTTCTTGTTGGCCCCTTTAGGCACTGGAAGCTGCTCTAAGTTCTCACTGGAGCCTTCTCTTCTCCGGGCTGAACAAGCCCAGCTCTCTCGGGCTGTCTCCACAGCAGAGATGCTCCAGCTCTCGGAGCATCTTTGTGGCCTCCTCTGGACTCACTCCAAGAGCTCCACACCCTATTGGAGGGTTGGTGCAGGAATAATAGTGTTGGTGTGGGGATAAAGACTCCCCTCATACAGCCTCCTGCTCTGAGGGAGGATCAGTGACTCCATAATGGAGGGACTTGACCTGCCATCTGCAGACCCTGGTGGAAGACCAGATCCTGAAGTTAACACCCCTATTATACAGTAAAAGCTCTTCAAACATCCCTGTTTTGCCATGTCCCAGCAGTTGATCTGAGACAAAACACCTGGGAGGATGCCCAGGGATGGCCTCATGCATGTGTTCCACTCACTTGGCCAGTGCCAGCCCGTGCTTGCTCAGCTCCACGTTCAGATCCGAGAGGAAGATCCCACCTTCCACTGTCACTTGCTGCTTCTCCTTGTCTACCTGTAAAGGATGGGATGGGAGAGGGGAACGTCACACACCTCAGTGGAGAAACACCCCATGAAAAACACCCCTGCTCTTCTCAATGCACTTGATAATGTGGACAGGAGAGCCACGTACGAGAGACTTGTCCTATCCTGATCTGCCACCTCTCTCAGACCTTCACCCAACCCAAACCTGGCCCAGACTCCGCTCCCCTTTGCTCTTCCCAGTGTAGGGGCTGTGTAATCTCTCCCATAATTTATGGGTGTTGCAAGGGAGAAGATATCCCACAGCAAAGCTCTGTCTTCTGCTCTGCCTTCCTGCCCTTCCCAGCCTGCTTCAGCCAGCTCCTGGTGGAAGGAGATCTTATTATCACTAGAAGCTATTCCATCCCACTCCTGACAGACAGAGCTGTCAGGGAGGGAGCTGTTCCTTAATTACTTATTGCTGTTAATTACCACTAATGATCCAGCACTCAGAATACACTGCTGGGGGGGGGGGGGCAGGACTTTTTTCATCTTCAGCTGCACACAGACATAGGTGTGCACAGTGCATGCGTGCACACACTACAGGCATGCACACACGTACCTGCGCACGCACACATGACACACGGGTACACATGCATGTACAGGGTCAGTTCTCCCACTCTCTATAACCTGCCAGCCATGCAGCCCCAGTAAGAGCACGGTGTTTTCCCCAGGGAAGTGGTGACTCCCCAGCATTGCACAGGGTGCTGGGCCATCCAGCCTAGGTCATGCTTTGCCTAGAAAGGTTGGACCCAATGTTCCTGAGGTCCCTTCCAACCTGGGATTCTATGATTCCACGATTGCTGTCCCCACACACTGGAGGTCTGGACGCAAAGCAGGCAGAGCTCTCCTCTCAGCAGCTCTCATTTTCCCAGAGTTGCTCAGGATATGACCCAATGGCAACCAGGAAGAGCTGTTTCCTTCCCAGTGTCATCAAAAGGAGCAATCCCCCACCTGACACAGGAACATCCAGCCTGTCCTTGCCAGGCTGCTGTCTCTGCCTAAAGCCTCTTCTCAAGCTTGCACCAAGAGTTGATCTGGCCAGGTACCTCCTCCCCATCCATCAGACTGTGCTGTGATGAGGACATTGTGCCAAGGTTAAGCTCTTGTTGAACACACACAGGGAAGACATCATTTCTTTGCCTTTTTAAAGCTGCTCCATAGGCTTCCAATGCTTTTACACTGGGAGAATGTGCATTCCCCAGTGTTGCACCAGCATTTCAGGGTCTGGTTTGGAAAAACTCCTGTCTGTGAGGAGAGGAAAGCCTCCCCACCCTTTCACTTCCCATGCTGGGAATAGCAGTGTCAGTGCAATTCGTTCCAGCCCTTGGTGGTTGCAGGAACAGAGGTGCCACCGCACTTAAGGGCCACCACACCACCTCCAATAAGCCAACCTCACCTTAAGGACCCTGTTCATCTTCGCCATCTGGATCATGAAGTCATCGGTGCAGGCAATGTCTGAAGGAGAGTGACCACCCCCCACCACCTTCACCCTCTTGTTCCGCTGCCTGGCCATATCCAGGATCTGCAGAGACAACAGCATCCAACATCACCCTCATTGCCATGCGCTAAGGGCAGTGCCAGAGGCACTGTGAGATATCCCAAGCTAAAAACTCAACCATGGTTGACATCCATGTACTTGGATAATTCATCATCAGGGGCTAAAACCACCTCTGCACCTCTCTTAAGACAGCCCTCAGGATCATCCTTTTGGGGTTGGGCTAGATGACCTTTAAAGGTTCTTTCCAACCCAAACCATTCTATGATGATCCCAGAAAAGACAATGCCCACCTTAGGGTGACAGAGGCATCTTAGAGGTGGCAAAAGTGACACAGGAGTCCCACCCCTCAGCATGGCTGCTAGGGCAGACAGGGGACCTCAGTAGGGTGCCAGATGCTGATGCCCAAGGATCAGAGTCCAGCTGGGGCCAGGCATGCTGTCTTTTTGCATCTTTTAGGTCTTTGACGCATCTGAACATGTGCAGTTTGTTAGGATGGGCCATCTCCTGGGGCTAAGGGCAGGACTCCTGCTGTCACCACCTGTGACCTCTCTGACTGATCATGATGGAGCATGGCAGACCTTCCCAGCCTTTCCTCCTCTTAATTTCTAATAGGTTGTCTCCTGGATCCTTACCTCCCTGATCTCCTCCACTGAGGTGGGCTGGAAGTACAGCTCTGGAGAGGAGCCATAGGTCTTGGCCCAGTTCTGGAACTTGACTCCTCCTTGGCCGTGAACCTGGACCATAAAAAGAGCTAAAGCAGAAGAAATCAAGTGCCTCCCCCCACAGCCCATCCTTTGTCTGCCAAGACCACTGTACAAGATCCATGTTTCCCAAAGGATTAATTATTTATGGATAGAGAGGTTCATCTCAACCCCTTGAGTCTGTAGAGCAGAGATGTGTCCATGTGAGCAAGTCATAGAGGGGTTCCTTTGCAGTAAGGGCGAATGCTCACCTTGTGTGGGGTTGGCTACCAAGCCCCAGAGAAGATGGTGCATCCCCCTGCCCAGGCAGGACTGGATCCAGTGTGCTGCCCCACCATGTCCCCACGTCCCACCTTGGCTGCAGGGGATGACTTATTCGCTTGCTGCCTCCTGTGGTATCCTTCTTCCAGTTCTCTGCAGCCTCCCGTCCATCAGCAAACCCTCTACCTTCCACCTTCCTACCCAGGCTCCCTCCTCTACCCCCAGGTCATTTTCCTTCTCCCCATCTCTATGATGGAACAGCTCCCATCCAAAGAGCAGAATCACCTAAAACTGGCCAAACTGTTCCGGGGGGAAGAAGGGGCTCTCTCAGCAGTGTCTACAGCATCTTTTCCCTGCCACCATCTTCCCTCACAACCCCAGCCCCCCGAGGCTGATTTTAGGGGCTGGGCAGGGCAGGGACAGTGGATGGCCCATCACCCAGCCCAGGGAGGTGACACTGCCCGGGGCCAGGGCTACCGGGAAGCTATTGCAGATAGCCCAGATAGCAGCAGGGAGCATTGCAGGTGAGGGGGATGTGGGGCTAGGGCTGGCTCACAGGATCCCCCCGTGCAAGTTAAAACCCAGGGCTGGTCTTTGGGCCAGAGTACAGAGCTAGAGACAGGGAAAATGGAATAAAAACCCAAAACAACAAAATTGAGGAAGCAAAAAACCCATGGGTTTGAGCAACCTGGTCTAGTGGAAGTTGTCCCTGTCTGTGGCAGGGGGTTGGAACTAGATGAGCTTTAAGGTCCCTTCCAACCTAAACCACGCTATGATAAAACACTCCTGTTCAGCAGCCAGAACCGGGTTTGATTTATCCAGGGAATCCATTGTCTTTCCTTCCCTCTCCCTTTTCCTATTTCTTGCCATGACGATATTAGTTACTAAACCCATATCATAGATGGTAACAAATCCACATTGCCCTGCTCACAGCGCATAGCTCCACACTACCTGGACCACCCTTCCCACCCTAAAACCTGAGAAAATCCTTTCTTGGCTTTTACTTACCATCCTGTTGGCCTCTCCAAGAGATGCTGCTGGAGCAAGTGGGTCTCCAGCTGCTCCTGAACAGGGGACAAGGAGCGATCCTGGCCAGTGCAAGGCTGGCAGAGCTTGGTCCTGCCCTGGGGGTCAACAAGGAGCTTCCCTCCAGGCTGGAAGGATAATGAATAACCTTGTTATTTGCCTGGTTCCTTGGGGGAGGAGAGGGGCTGAGCCTTTCGCTCCTGGCTGGCAAAGCAGGATCCAGACATGGATTTGAACCTGGGGTCTCATGTCCTGCAGGGATGCTGCAATTGAGGGGTCTGGGGAGAAGCTGCTTCCCTTTTGGGGGTTCTGGCCTGGGAGCGGCTCTCCTGAACCTGCTGTCTTCGCACTGGGCGAGCTGGGCAAAGGGGGGAATAAGAAAAAGGGCCTGCCAGGTCTGGGGGGACCAAACAGCAGAAGGGGGTGGGCTTCAGGCATCGAGGGATGCAATGGTCTCACTGCATTGCATCACCATGGGCAAAACAGGCACTGGGGGTCTTCGCTCCCTGCTTTGCAAGGAGCAGGGTGCTCCACGCCTTGCACACCTGCCTTGCATCCCAGGTTTGCTCTGCGGTCCCACTGGGAGCAGAGCGGAGCACAGGATCCAGCCGGGTGGTGGGTCTCAGCTGAAGGACGGGCAAGGAGCCGTGCTTTGCAGGAGCTCTGCAGCGCTCCGTGGCTGTGCTTTGGTGATAAGCAAACCCTTCCCCATCCCTCATTAACGAAGGGATGATAACGATTTTTCTGAGCTGGCTACACAGGCAAGGTGACCTCGGGGAGCACTGCTACAGGTCCTGATCGGGTGGTGGTACTGGGCAGGGAACCAGGGCTGCAGGCAGCTGCCTTCACATGGCCATGCTCTTGGAGACCCAACCTCTGCAGCACAATCACAAAGGAAGGAGGGGAAATTGCTTCTTAATTACAGAGCAGGAGCTATGTAGACTCTGAAGGACCTCCCAGCATCTCCAGGAGCTTTTGCCATGGGTGCTCCCATCCAGCTTCAAAGCTCCTTGACCTCCTGACCATCCTGAAACCCTGCTGGGTTTGCAATGCAGCACATTAATGAATAATCACCCAGCACACCTTGAAGCCCCCATAGACGACAAGGGGACCAGCTGATTGGGGTCAGACGGTGCCGTGGCTGCCCAGCTAACAGTTTCTGGTCTAAGTGCTGTGCAAAGGTCACCAAAACCTCCAAAAAACACCCCTCAAGAGGTTATTCATTAACAGTGAGGGGTGCAGGGGATGCAAGCGGGGAGAGCACAACTCACCTGCACTGCTTCAGCCTCCGCCAGCTCCCAGCTGCATCCAGGAGGGATGTCACAGCTCGGCTAATTACAGCTGAACAGCAGGGAATAATTCAAAGGATGAAAGAAAAGCAAACAGTTTTCCCAGGTGTTGGAGCTGTTTGTGCATTTATTTGTGAATGGGTGAAATTTTCGTAGGAGGAGTGGTCTGTCCTGGAGGGACCCAGGGAGCAAGGGTAGCATCCAGACTGGTGATGGATTCAATCCCCCAGGTTCATTGTGGGGATCAGGAGACCAGTGGTCAGTTCGTCTAAATCCTGTGGTGTAAATACAGGGCTGGAGGACCTCTGCTATGGAGACAGGTTGAGAGAGCTGGGCTTATTCAGTCTGGAGAAGGCTCCACAGAGACCTTACAGCAGCTTCCAGTGCCTAAAGGGACTGACAAGAAAGCTGGAGAGGGGGCTTTTGACAAGGACCTGTAGGGACGGGACAAGGGGAATGGCTTTAACCTGACAGAGGGGAGATATAGGTTAGACATTAGGCAGAAGTTGTTCTCTGTGAGGGTGCTGAGGCCCTGGCACAGGTTGCCCAGAGAAGCTGTGGCTGCCCCATCCCTGGCAGTGTTCAAGGCCAGGTTGGACAGGGCTTGGAGCACCCTGGTCTAGTGGAAGGGGTCCCTGCCCGTGGCAAGAGGTTGGAACTGGATGAGCTTTAAGGTCTCCTCCAACCAAAACAATTCTGGGATTCTGTGATTTTGTGATAAATCATGGGAACATGATGCCAGTGAATGCTTTGGTTGGATTTGCTTGGCCAGGGCATGAGGTTTGCACAGGACAGTCAGAGCTGCAGAACCAAACATGGCCAAGGTGATGCAGGGTTATGGGTGGCTGTGGCTTGGTTGGGGCTCTCCAACACAGCCCAAATGGGGATGGAAGGAGGGAGAGGTCCTTCTCTGTACCTTCACTGGCACCTCTGCAGCTCCTGGCACTGAGCTGGCCCAGCAGCTGGATCATGATGGAATTTCCTGCTGCTACCCTGCACTGTCACATCTGCACCAGAAGTGGCCAATGTACCCCCAGTCTGCAGTGCATTCCCACACTGCAGTGCATTACCAGTTGCAGTGCATTCCCAAATGGCAGTGCACCCGCAGACCGCACAGCCTGGGTGCTGGAGGGGTGGATGCACAAGGTTCTGCCTCCCAGACAGTGCAGGAGTGTGGAGATGGGGCTTCCCCACTCTCTCCTACCTCTGGGGGTGCTCCTCCCCAGAGCTGCTTCCCTACAGCAATGGGGAAACTGAGGCAGCAGTGAAGCTGTTTGAGTGCCTGATCTCGAGAGCTATTCAAGCATTGTCTCCGGTCAGGCAGAAATCAGGTGGGGCTTTTCTTGGTCTCCTTTCTTCTCTGTTTAAAAATAAAACAGTTGAAATTTAATCATGGGAAGCTTTTATTCTTTATTTCTCAATCTCCAGGGGCCTTTTTTCCTTTTCTCTTTTATAAGTAAATTGCTTCCTTTCTGAAACAACCTCTGGAGGAGGGGAGGACAGGACTGGAGATGAAGCCTGTATGGGAGCAAGGAGATGGTGTCCCTTAATTCTGACCACTCAGCACAGGCAGAACCCCCCTGTGTCCTCCCTCCAGCTTGGTATCCCTGCTGCCAGCACCTGTATGTGCCTTGCAGTCTTTGAGGGCGAAGGAAAACAGCTCATTTCCAGAGTTTTGGGGTCCAAGGGATGAGAGGAGCTGGTCATATTGTGCCACCTTCCTGCTGGGGTTGGTTTGGGTCACCTGGGGTTGTTGATGCTGCAGTTTGAGCTCTGACTTGAACCATGCAAAGACATGTTGGCCCCAGAGGAACCTTTGCCCTTAGCACCCAGCAAACGCGGTGTTTTCAGTCCCAGCAGGGCTGAAATATTAACCGAGCATCCCCAAGGCAGAGCTGGAGCTGTCCCAGAGTCCAGGGATGGGCTGGGTTGAAGTTTAACCGGGTGCCATCAAGCTTGGTGGGTTCCAGCAGCCCACGGCTGGGCACAGTCCTGCCCCCCTGCACCCAAACCCTGTGGGGCAATGGGAGACCAGCAGTGTGCATTTTCCAGCCCATTCACTGCATGCATAGGGAAGGGTCACCTCTGCCTGTGCCCTGCACCCCCGGTGTGCACCCTGTGTGAATGCTGCATCCCAACACCTGCATCAGGAACCCCATGTGTATGCCCTGCACCTTTCTTCATCCTGCACCCTGAACTCTGCTACCTGCACCCTGCAATCCGGATGTACACCCTGCATGCCTGTACCTGCACCTTGCACCCCGTATGCGCACCCTCACCTGGTGCATGCCGTCCAGCAGACATTTCCCAGTGAAGACTCATTGCAGCCATTGCAGAGAGCCCAGTGGGGTCAGAAGGAACCCTGTTGCGCCCATCACTGCCACACTGTTGAGTGCAGAGGCAGGAAGCGGGGATGCTCATTGCAATAGCAGTGCCAGAACAGGAGATCTGGGGGGTTGAGCTGTATATCACCTTGTGAGCACCCCGCTAGCAGCTTTGCACGCCCAGCCTCATGGCCAAATCCTGGACACATCAAGTGCTGGTGCTGTCACCCAGGTGGCCAGGACCAGAACATCACAGCTGGAGAAGAGGATGGAGCTGGAGGCTGGAGCCTTAACGCAGCTTCCAGTGCCTAAAGGGGCCAACAAGAAAGCTGGAGAGGGGCTTTTGACAAGGGCCTGTATGGACAGGACAAGAGGGAATGGCTTTAAACTGACAGAGGGGAGATTGAGATGAGATCTTAGGCAGAAGTTCTTCCCTGTGAGGGTGGTGAGGCCCTGGCACAGGTTGCCCAGAGAAGCTGTGGCTGCCCCATCCCTGGCAGTGTTCAAGGCCAGGTTGGATGGGGCTTGGAGCAACCCGGTCTAGTGGAAGGTGCCCCTGCCTGTGGCAAGGGGCTGGAACTGGATGAGCTTTAAGGTCCCTTCCACCCCCAACCATTCCATGGTGCTGCTGGCCAGGATGGCTCCAGGCTGGGTTTCTGTTTCTCTTCAAGCATCTCTTAAAAAATAAGCCCATCCTTTTGTGAGCAGCCCTGGGAGCTCCAGGAGCTGCCCCTAACTCTAGGGCTTGGGGAGATCCTTTCTTTCCAGGGTCTGCTGCTGGGATCTGTGGTTTGAAACTCACCCTGAGGTCTTCCAGACATTTTCTTCTGTCTTTTCACATCAAAGAGTTGTGAAAGCGCTGGGATAGGGCCACTTTGCATCCTGCAGCTGGAGACCACATCCAACCCGGGCGGGGGTTTGCCAGTACCAGCTCCCCAGCATCCGGAGGGATGCTGATCCCAGAGAGATCTCCCTCCGCTGCACCTGAGACCACTCTGAGCAGCTTCAAGCTGTGAAAAGAAACAGCCTGGAGGAGTTTGTTCTGTGGCCAGATTTGTTTCTTCATCTCAGACTCCATCCATTGTGCCAGCGCCGGCCCCGCGGGTGCCCTGAGGCGGCAGCAGCCGTGCCATTGCTCTTGTTTATGGCTGGAGAATTTCTCCCGGGAACAAACCCTCCAGGAGACAGAGTGAGGCCCCAGAGGGAACGGGGGAGGGATTTTGCATCTCTTCCGATGGTGTTCGTGTTGCTCTGGCCTTGTCCTCCCAGAATCAAAGCCCATGACTGCTTTGGCTCAGGTGATTCCTGGGTCCCCGCTCTGCACATGATGGGATGTCTGCAGCCCAACCAGTCACCACCCTGGGCCATCTCCATCCCTCCAGCCTGTATGGGTATCAGTCAGAGTTTGCTGAACGTGCTGAGGCTGCGCGCACCCAAGGCCATGCAGATTCCAGGATGGAAGGTGTGGACTGAGGCCACAGGCACCCATGGGGACAGAGGGCACAGAACCTCTGCACGTGCATGGGG